AAAGTTGTAAATTAAAAAGAATGATAGTTGCGATTTAATCGCAATAGTGCTGTAAGTAAAGTATTAATTGTATAAAATTAATCGTCGCATATCAAGCAGATAAAATAACCGCAATCATATTTTAGTTAATATGTTAGTCCACAGTCCGAAAGCATGACGCAACTAAAAGTAATGTTACATATTACAACCGGGACCAAGTCATTGCACCGCGTAAAGATCTGTAACTTGTTTAATTATAATCGATCAATAGGAACATTTGAATGTGTAAAGTCAAGCCGAACTAAATCTGACTGCGTTCTATAAAGTGCACGATACGCATGATGTATCTGATATATCATTTTATTTACGTTTAATTCAAATTCGCTAAACAACAAAGATAAAATGATATAATACATCATGCGCTTTACAGAACGCAACATCTGAAAGTCGGATATTTGGATTGTCTTGAGGGTTCAGAAAAGGAAGACCGTGGTTATGTAAAGTAGCGCGATCCTTGGTCCAAAATTGTTTCGACATCGCGATAATATATGATGGTGGTAGAAAAGAGATCGTGCCAATTTTCTGTCGTGGAAATTGTACATAGACATGAGATAAGATATCGAAATTAAAACGGATGATCGAACCGAAAATAGGTGAAGTGCACAATTTAATCACGATATGTCCTATTTTTAAACGAGGGCGCAGTTATCCGTCGATGAGTAATATTCATACGGCTGTATCACCTTTTGTACTTCAGACAATTTGTACTTTACGGTGAATAATTAAACAAATGTCAAGCATATGCGCATAAGTATTTACCACCGTTTAAAATAATATAACTAGCGAGACCTATTCATCTACTAGAAACGTGAGAGGAAAGCTCATGTGATGATTCAAAGTATTATGAAAAAGGATTATATAACATTGATTGCGCAATAATAGGCGAGCTGTGTGCATTTCTTTTATTTGACCGTCACGATTTACGTCGATACGATTATTATCACGCGAATAAATAATACGGTGGCGAAAAGACGATTAATATACAATATTATCGACTATGATGGATGACGATGTATTGGTGACAATTCGACAGTTTACGTTGCGATTTTGCATTATACGTTCTACTGTCGTAATTAATCATTCTTCTTTCGGTGTGTAGTTGATGTAACCTTGAAGTATATTTTCGCTTACTGTCAATGAACCATGGCAAACGGCCTACTTTTTACTTGCACGAAACGAATAATCGTTTTGACCGTGTACACTGCCAATATTGAATCTATATTATGTGTAACGTGAACTATATATATGTATATTTTCAGTACTGGCAGTATAGCCTTTGTCACAGCTTTTCGTGAATTTATATACTTTGTTCCGTTTCGAGGGAATTCACGGACTCTTGGAGAAAAAAGTAAAAGAATATTCGATTGCTGTAACAATTTTCTTCACAGCTAAGTAGAACCGTTTCTTACAAAATATATTGTTTTTACATGCCACTTCCGAAACTCACTTCCGTTAATTTCTTCCGTAGAGTTCTCAACAATTTCGTACGTTCCTGCGATACTTTCACTATTTGCGCCAGCAATCGACGTCATATGTATCCACAGAGAAATTACGAATTTAGACGTCAGAGCTCGGTTAACGTTTACGTATGTGTTTTTTCACATCTTGACATTTTCCTATCCTTAAGAAACTTCTAATAATATCCTTCATACAATTTTACTTACTTGAGATATTAAAAATAATTTGAACTTACGAATGTCACAGGGACGATTTCAAGAGAATCTGCAATTTTAATACTTAAGTCGGTATTTGTCCGTTCTTATTACGAGAACATCTAAAGTAAAGTCTTAAGACGGATCTTATATTATAGTCGGATCTTATATTTAAGACCATCTTAAGTACAGTCTTAAAATCACAGAGCAGTACTATCGTCTTAAGACATTATACTTAAAGCAATCTTGAAATAAGGACTGACTGTAAATACCGGCCTGTAATTGGTCTATGACATCTTATTATTATATTTAGAACGGTTTTAAATGTAAAACCTGACAATAATATCAGCTTTAGATTTATCGCGAGACGTATCAAAAACAGTTAGATATCTTAGATTTTACTTAGCTTAGATATCTGAACTTTGTATCCTTTCTATCTTCTTCTCAGCGAGTCCCGGCCAGACGCTTACCTCTCATGTCCGAAAAATTTCGCTCGCGCGTCTACGATTCAGTCCTCGGTCATTGTCACCCGACCGTCCGTCTGCACGGATCTGCTTTCGTTCTTCGAAACGCGCGCCAGCAGTAGCAGCAAACTCCTGGATCTGGATCTCTCTCGCTCAACTCCGTGTTTCGCGAACGCATTTGAAATTTGAATCCGGCGCGGGGTGTGTGTCTTACGTCGACCAATCGACAAGGCTGTCACGCCGTTGCGGTCCAATCGATGGTTGCGCTGTTGGAGGCTCGACTTGTACACGACGTGACGTAATGTCGTTTAAAAAGCGAGCCGCGTGGGACGCGCGAATCAGTCGCACGACGCACGTTGCACCGTGTGCATTGCTGGAGCTGAGGCATCGTCGGATTCCCATCGGCAAAAAAGAGAAAGAGAGAGAGAGAGAGAAAGACTAGTGCACTGTCGGCGTATCCCTTCCCTCCCTTCCTCTTTCGCTCTTCCTCTTCGTCTTCTTCTTCTGTCGTTTCTCCTGCTTCTCGGTTCTTCTTCTTTCGGTTCCATCCCACATATGCCGGAGATTTCATCGTCCAGCATCTGCAGTGGCTACAATTAGACCAAGCACGAGATTCCGTCGCTGATCCATTTCACTCTTGAGGGATAATTTTATGCGCGACGAGTTGGCGCGCGATCAGGAGTGGACCGATCACGCGGACTGAAGGAAAACTTTTTAACGGAGCGGGTGCCTACATTACGACTGTCTCGCCGCGCCGGGAGATTGGAAAGACACGCGAAGGTTGACTTGCGTGCTTCCCGTAAGTAGTGACGCGCGCATCGCGCGTCGTGACAGGAGATATACTCTAATTACAGCAATAATCGTAATTATTGATTCAATGTATTTTTATCCTTTTTTCTGAGAACTACGAATAAACGAGATTAAAGCGGAAATTGAACATACGCAATTACTATAATTGTACCACGCTCTTGTTTATTGTAATCTCGGAGAAGGCGTTAGGAGGATGCTGTAATGAAACGTACTGCTGTTATAATAATTTACGATTCCGTACCGTTGAATCTAATAATCGACCACGGAACTTTACCGCGCTTTATATATTCGGAAACGCAGTTGTGTTTTCTATATTTTTGCAACATATTTATGAACCTTTTAAAGCACATATTGAGCAGGTAAATATCGCAGAAAGATATGATTATGTTTCTGTGATAAACGTGTCGCGTAAATCGCAAGGTAGAATTTTATGAAAACACTTTGATTGTATTTGCAATTTTATTTGTTATATTTTTTGATTGGATGTTTGATCGTAGAGAGAGAGAGAGAGAGAGAGAGAGAGAGAGAGAGAGAGAGAGCCCAGAATAAGCAGGTAACACGTATCGCACTCGTACAGTTACTCCGTGGCTAAGTGTAGCCAGTGCCATTTAGGGACGGAAATAAGCGCGAGTGATGTCAATTTGGTGACCGGTATTGACAAATTTAACGAGCATGTCGCTATACACACGTTTCAATGGCGAGCGATCATGCAGAAAATAAAACGCGTCTTGAGACTTTCGGTCAGAATTTCGCAACAGTACATAATCTAAAATTTCGTAGTTTTATCTTAGTCTCGATTATTATTATCTTATTTCATCATAATCTTTTATCGTTTATTATTCATATAAATTAAGGAATTAAATGAATATATGTTATAATACATTTTTTCAGAACTAAATTATTAAATTTTAACAACATAAAACATAAATAAATTATTACTAATTAATAAATTGAATATATGTTGTTATTAAATTTTATTAATATATTGTATAATAATTATATACATATAATTCAAATTCCAGATTAATTTTCTCAAGTTCTCCAAGTAGTTAGATCTTTATCATATATTTAATTTTTTAAATTGATCTATTGAGATTTTTTTCAGTACATTTATATTGATAAATCGTTTACTATAATACATTCTATTAAATTTACAACTATTAGGAACTATATTTATTCATATTACATAGGTGGCTGTCGTAATATCAGTGTTAATTAATTACGATACGTAATATATTAATTCGCAAAATTCAACTATAATATTTTTAATTAGTACTCCGAGAAATGTTTCGAGATATTCTCAAGGTTTTTCGTCGAGGTCGACTTCGCTCGTGAAAATCGACGAAAACTTTATCGCTCTAAATTGACGGCTTGTAAAGATATAAAAGCGTTACTTTCTTCCTTTTATTTTGTTTTTCAAATAGTAACAGGATTGATTACCTCTTCGAATTATTCGCGAGTTATTTGATTCATTGTGATAAATTTTTTTCAGAGTCGTTCCTCATTGTGCACGACATATTTATCGGTAATGTATATCCAATTGTTTTAATGCGATTCACAAATCACAACTCGCCGCATAATTCAAATGCGTTGAGTGCAATTAGCTAATGAGAGTACAGCAATCGATTTACCGGTTCTGATATTATACCTATTACATATCGCTATGTCGAACGACTTTATGTTTCCTTGACGGAAAAACGCAGTAAGAACCGAACAGTACGTGTTATTTCAAGGAACGTATTACGTTTCTCCAATTTCTGAGAACATCATTTATTATTTCAGTAATTTGATTTGTTTTCACGAATACAGGTTTATGAAATACCATAATACACGTTGTAAAGCTTCTCTACCAAGATCTACTTAGTTAGATACGTCTTATCGTACATCGCGGTAAGAAATCTTTTATAAAGAAAGATATTAGAATGTTAATGTCATAAGTATGTGATTGCGATATCTGGTAACGAAAATTCCTCTTGCGCGTGATTTTACGTACGTCTTTCACGTCTAACGTTTGTTTTTACGTTTTATGTTGCAGGGGAGATGCGGCCTCGCTATTGGAGCTGAGACCGTCCCGTCGGCTGCGAAAGTTTGTGGGCCCGCATCCAAAATCGATTACGAAAAAGTAAGGATCATTCGCGTCAGGATCATCAACCGCGCACTTCATCACCCTCGTATTCCACGCTCGAAAAAGCTAAGCACGAGAGACACTCGAATATAGCCGGGTCTAACCAAAAAAGAAAAAAAGAAACGGAAAAATCGAACAACGAAGGAACGGGGGAGAAACGTTTAACGAAGAAAGCAAAGTCATTAGATCAAGAGTGAAAGAGGAAGAGAGAGAAGGAAAAAAGCGAGAGATACGTTAAGAATAAAAAAAGAAAACGCGCATATACAATCATAACGTCGAGGAGAGGCTTTTCGGTTCTTTCGATAGAAAGCAAGGAGGGAAAGTCGGAGAGAGACGGTTAAAATCTGGCTTTCGGTACACGCGTGGTTGGTTTTTTTTTCTCGTTTTCATTTCGCGCTATTTTCCCGTAAAACCTCAAGAGAAAGAGTGATGCGCCCGTGCTTCTCCGCGCGTGCTTGTGTAACGTAAAACCGGATCGCGATATATTCGGCTGACACGGCAGTAACAAACAAAAAGGAAAAAAAAAAAAGAAAAAGTAGATCGTACACGCACGCACGTATAGTAATACGAGACCGAGAGAGCGAAAAAAATGGCCATGGTCCCGACATGCTCCGTTTTGATGTTTCGTCCTTTGGTGCACGCTGCGCTCTTCACGTTCCTCGTCGTTCTTCCGAGCACTTCTATCGCGGATAACACGGGCACGACGAAACCGCCTCCGTGCTCAAGGTAAGTGTCTCAGAGAACCAGCCAAACGAAATTCATCCTGTATTCAATCCACCCCAAGAACTCGACTCGAACTATATCTCGCACTCTTTTTTTTTTTTTTTACCAACGTTTCATTGTTTGCGATGAAATTACTCGTTGTTAACACATAATTGCTTAAATGACGTTAGAAACCGATACTGCTGTCGCTGGCCTTCGAAACTGCGATAAACTGCGGTCAAGTCACATTTTCCATCGTATCATGCGAAAAATTTTCAACATCAACGATCTACCTATTATCGGCGATTAAGAATATTAAAAAAATTTTTTATTGCTTGTCCTCATAAATAAGTTGCATTAATTCAATCGATAAATATTCTTAATTAAAGCGACTGAAGACATTTCAAATGAAGAAGAAATCTTGAATAAAACGTTTGAAATTTTTCTAAAACTGCTTTGTCATTCAGTATGAATTTATGTAGATTCTATCAGAGTTAAATATTTGAAATCAAATGCTTTACGCCACTGACTTATACGTAACCCATTATGTTAGATGCATAATAGCATAAAATTTTATATCCCAATTATTGTACACTTACCTCACTAATCATCATTGATCATCGTTTGCGAAGATGGAATTACAAAATGACGTAGGACTAATTAGTTAGGACTAGGTATTATCACATTTTCCATAAATGCATTTGAAACTAGAGATTATTACGTAAAAAAAAAAAAACAAGAATCGTTTGTCGTTAAGTTAATTGTTTTTGTTTTTACCACCAACTATTTCATTTAAATATATTTTTTAAATTTAAAATAACATACAATGTCAATATACATTTTAGAGTTGTTCGTCGGCCGTGTATGAAAATCTTATTTTTACGGTGGTTTATTTGATGCATTTGATTTAAAATTATTCTATTGTAAGAAATACAGAGATGCAAAACTATAACAAAAATTCACTTAATTATCAGATCGTGTATACAAAGTAAAATATTAGTATGATTGCCAATAGCAATATCATCACAATTCTCAATTTTCTCAAAAAAAATTTAATAAATTCGAAAATGGATTTTTTCGGAAGTAAAACATATTTGTACGAGTATTTTTTTTAACAAATAGATTGTTTATATAAATTACATAAAATTCTAAAATTTTTTATTTATTGTATATATAATATTAATTTTATATATATAAATATATATATATCCGCTACTATTTATCAAAGAACTACAACATTAGATGAGTATATTCCGACATTTATAAATCCGACAGCTGACCAGTCTGAGGTATCAAACGTCTCGAGGAAATGTCACGAAACTTCAAATGATATCTTGTCGACAACGATGATGCACATGCGATAAAAAATAGTCGTGTCATATACGTCATTCGTAAAGTTCCTCGATGGACTAGTAAACAATTTTGTTTGCATATAAAACTCCCTTGTTCTTCATTTTATGTCCCATTTTGTACATTATTTATATTTGAATTTTTAAAGAGATTTTTTTATTGTGCAACTTCTTTGTAAGATATATTTTTTTGACAATGTTATTAACTCATCTAAATTATCATTTTTCTAACACTTCATAACTTACAAATGAAGTTCGTAATATCGTGTTTTTGTTATTTAGGATTTTGCCCAAGTGATTCTTATTTTACTTTTTGGCGTAGACGCGATCACATGCTGCGGAAACATACATAGAAAAATAGTCTGCTTTTCCGAAATTATATCAGTACTGGTTTCGTTAGCGTATCTACATCTTTTTTTATCGATATTTCATTCCAATGTTAAATAAAATATAGAATATTAATTATTATTAGGAAATAAATTAGAGAAAATCAACTTTTTATCGGCAATGTTAGATTTTAAAGATACAATCGATTTCTTGACTGTGAATTCTAACAGATAAATTTAAATTTGTAAAAAATAAGTAAAATATATACAATTTCTACACGATAAAAATTAGTTATTAAAATTTTCATAGATAAGTATATTATATATGTAAGAGTTTTTTTTAGATCTTTACACACTTGAGAATGATACAAAAATTTGAACTGAAATTCGAAAAAATTATGGACACGGAGTAAAAATTTCATTTATTGCAGAAGATTAACAAAAAGAACACATTAATACGCGACTTCGGAGTGAACAATATTCTACTTATTAGATTCGAATAAATGTGCCGCTCCTCAAATTTTGTACCTTTCTCTTCCTTAAAAAGTGCCATTATACAATGTATAATTATACCTTTGACGCACTAAGGAATCTGTGTCGCTTTAAACCGACGAGATTGCATATGCGATACTGCAGTATTAGCAGGCACGCGTGACGCGAGCATTTAGGGAAATGACCTTAGCAATGAACCTCGTCCTGGAATCAGACGCGTGGCAAGTTGGGCTCTAAATTATCGTGTTCCGCAAGCACAATGAGCGTGACCTTTACAGTGTCTGTACATGTATGTGTGCACATGCTAATGGAGTGCGTCGATTTGCAACGGAAACTTTTCACTCGTACGATCGATGACGTGCAGCCAGCATCTCTATCTAAAGATTTGGCGTTCGTTCTGTACTTGCCGAGATTCCGCAAGAAGCGCGGCTGGTGCACGTCGAGGATTATTGTTACGCTCGTGTAAATGGAAAAACATATTGTTGAAGTCACACACACACACACACACACACACATATGTATATTTATGTAGCACGCAACTTTAAAAATATTTTACATGCGATATATAAGATATTTTTAACTGAGTGATTACTCGGAATTGATACGAGAAAGAATCAGGTTGCCGTAATTGCGAAACTGCTTTGCTTTTTACAGATACGTCACGGTTCTTAAACAAAGCGAGCAATGAAGGGTATCGACTTGTTAATATAATGTTAGATAAAGCAGTAATTGTGTATCGTGTGCCTTATAATTCTGCATATTCTTTTAAACAGCTGTTAGAAATTTACTATCATTCGATATACGACATAAAATATCTATTATTAAAATTTTGAATTTTATCGTTATGTAAGATGAAGTTTATAATAACTAGCACAATTTTGAAGGAATTCTGGGCAAAATGTCAATTAAGTCAAGATGTTTATCTCATATCGAGATTTCTAGAGATATTAAAGAGATTTTCGTATGCAATTTCGCGAATTTTGGCATTGCGCCATTTCAACACAAATCTACGTACTATTTTCCGCAATGCAGAGAAAAATCGTCCAATGAAAAAATATATATCTGATATTTATTTCTTGATAAAATTGCTTTAAAAAGACGTAATGACTTTTTTCTTAGAGTGCTTAAGGATCACGATATCACAATTTGCGAATGGTAGATTCTGATATGGAATTACTTATACCTGCTCATTCACGGATGTAAAATTCGGTAATGTTTTTCCAGAAGACAAAAGCTTCTTGTACTTACACGATGCAAACATGTTTATCGAGTATAAGTGTGTCGCAACATAGGTGCAGATTCGAATCACGTCTTCGAGATAACGTGCACCGTGTATATTCCGGTAATGGGCGCACATTTAATCGCGACAACGATTAACTCTGCTGATCTGTCGATTCTGTCTTTTTCACTGAGACGCGCATATTTCGGTTTCAACTATCCTTGATTATGATTTCAGCGCGTAGGATAACGCGACGATGTACAAAAGGATATGAGAGGCGGCACGCCGAACACGCTTAGAGCTTAGTAAATTGAATCTTCCGGAGAATCTTTCGAATGACGTCTTAATAAAGTGGCGCGATCAGGCCACTTCTTGGCCGAGACTGCAATGACATTTCAGCCTAATGCCCGTTTCTACCAATGTAGAGTAATCTCAGTTCAACTTGCTCCTCATCTTTTTCTGATATTCTTAGAACTAGAAAAAGATGAAGAGTTAGTTGAACCGAGATTAAATTAAAAACGCGCATCGGATTTTCGTCGAGAGATCTATTTAATTCGACAGCGTTTGCTTATAATATGTAAATGAATATTTATATCCGGCAGGAGACTAACGTGTGACACGAATGTGTACAGTATATCAAATGCAGATCTTCTGTCGCATGATGCAATACCCGCAGTCACATTTAACATTAATTAAATCAATGTGTAATTATAAACGGTTTATCGCCGACATCTAATGATCAGCTGCACGGTTGTTCGAACCTGTTCGCGATAATTATTGCCATTTTCCATGATAATTTTTTTACGCCCAGTTAATGTAAAACATAATGCTAGTCTGCATTGCGATCGATATATTATTTGAGAATAATAAATATAGAAGCTAGTAATTTAAATTAGATTATCATGTGAGCAATATTTATTAATTAGCGATATATATCATGCACAATTGTGGACGTACGTATGAGGTTTAGTAAGGTTTAGTAACCAGCTCGTGCGGCGCGATAATGTTGAAAACTGAATAATTACGATTATCGCATGCACGAATACGTATTCAAACGAAATTATCATGGGTACTGCTAAATTACGCAAACGTTAAAATCGCACTATCATTCCTACGCCATCGTTTTCATCTATCTGAAAATGTATTAACATAGATAATCTGACAACGGAACAAATAAACTTGACATGAAAAAAACTTCTTTAAATAATATTCTTCTAGGAACAACAATAACTTGACGATCATATATCCGATTTTTGCAAAGATAGATATTTTTCCTTTAAAAAATACTCCCATATTATATGACGTATCTCGGTTAAAAGATGCTTCCGCGCGTGCAGTTATTCCACGCGGATAATTATATTTGTGTTAAAAGGATCATACCGTCACGTAATCACAGATTATTAATCAGGCGCTCACAAATCGGAGGCCCCGCGGAAATTTTCACACTTTTGCCGCGCTAAAAAAAGAGTCTGATAATAACAAAAGTTGAATGAAATTTTAATCAAATATCCGGTATATATATAATATAGTAATAAAAACTAATTTTATTTTTCTGAATATTTAATAAATATCAAATGATTGATATTATTATATTTCGATATACTTACAAAATTTAGAAAAGAAAAATTATTTTTTAGATATTATTATAAATAAAAAGAACACCAAAAATAAAAAATCATCAAAGAAAAAGTTATAAAGGATTATAGTAATAATAATAAGAGTAATTAATTTCACTTTTTATTTTTGTATTAATCTAACATTTGATTGAAATTATTTTACTTAATATTTGATAGCTTATATATATTATTAGTTTTTTTTTAGTGCGGATTTTCGCGGTAATCGTGTTAATGAGGCGACTCGTGGGTCGGTTTCCAATACGAACGGGAAAACCATATTGTATATAGATATCTCTTGTAACATATTCGCGAGACACGACTGTAGCGCGCGTATTACTAATGATAATCAGGCGGCACATTTCGCGAGCTGATCGCCAGCTGCCTCGCGCATTCCGTCACGCGAATAACGCGCAGGATCTCCTTCATTCCACGCAACGCACAGACACCACGACCGATTTCATTCCTAACCGCGAAACGAGCGAGCACGTGCACGCAGGGATCGCGTTCATCAAGGCCGTCCAGGAAAGCGGGAGTGACACGATTTCGCACGTACTGGTGCCCGGGCTGATCTACATGTTCACGAATCCACGCGATATCGCGCAGCCCGGGCGGCGCGGCGCGCGGCGTGTCCGAGATCATTGAAAAATAATCCATGCGAGAGAGAGGAACGGAAGCGAAAAGAATGCAAACAGTCCAAACAAAAACTTGTACGGAGATGTGAATATAGTACTAATAAGCACTATATTTGCTTGTGTTGGTCTTACGACAGTAGAATCATTTGTTAACGAATTGATTCGAAGAAACTTTTATATATCACGAAACTTTTTTAATATAAATTAATTTCAAACCGAATCAATGCCATAACGGTCGAAGCTGAATCATGGGTGCTTCTAAATGATTGCGTGTGAATTTATATACTACGTATGTAATTTCTTGATTGCGCGCCGAAATTTATTCAGACTTGAAATGCAACACTAATAAACTACCGCAGTAATATCACGAGTTAAATTGACTAACAATTTAACGATTATTGATGCTGTTTACGCATCTTCATATTGATCTTAATAATGTTAAATAACTAGGGTTGGGTAAGTTAATGTTCTTTTTAACTGAATAAAGAGAGTTAAAGTTAATGGCTTTACAAAATTAATAAAGTTAAGTTAAAAGTTGAAGGAATAAAAAATTAACTTAAAGTAGGCTAACAAATCAATATTGAATTAACTCAAGTTGAAAAAAAAGTTAATTTCGAAAAAAATTATTTTTTAGATCAAAATGTCCTAATTTTTCTTAAAATGAGATTAAATAACTACAATATAGATTATTAAGTAAATTTAATTTTTAATTTTTTTATTCACATGTGATGTAAGTATATAACATATAACGATATAACTATATAAGTTATATAACTTTCAAAAAACAGCCAACACATAGAAAAGATACAAGAGTGATTTTACATTTTTTAAAATTACATTTTAAGTTAAAAATCAACTATCAATAAAAATACAACGTATCGATAATGACAAAATATTAAATAATAACAATACTCATAGTTCCTCAGAATCACATACATTGCAGAATTACATGCGCGAAAATTAATAATAATAATAATAATAATAATAATAATAATTCGAGATGGTATTAAACTAGTGCATAAACCAATCAGAAAGCCGTATTAGCATCTTAAGACATTCCTTGAGATTTAGACTATATTCGGACTATGGATTCCGCCCTTAGTCTTATTATATCTTATTATTTTTCTAAGATATTTAAAAGAAATAAAAAAATTTTTTAACTTAAAAAAAGTTAAAAAGTTAACGTTTAAAAGTAACTTGGTTAAGTTAAAATTTAATCCATTTAAAATTAACTACGTTAAGTTAAAAGTTATTAACTTTTTAACTTTTTTTTTAACTTTTAACGTTTTAACTAGTTACTACCCAACCCTGTAAATAACCTATTAAAAACTGTAAATAATTAATTTTTTATTGCGAAAAGTATCTCGGCCGAGAGTCGAACCCGAATCTCTGGCATTCCATGCGAGCGTCCTAAGCCTTTAAACTGCCTCGGTAGGTTATTCAACATTATTAAGAACGATATAAAAATGCGTAAACAGCGCATGAATAATATCGTTAGTCAATTTAACTCGTGATATTACTGTGATAGTTCATTAGTGTTGCGTTTCAAGTCTGAACAAATTTCGGCGCGCAATCAAGAAATATACATGTACGTAGTATATAAATTCACACGCAATTATTTAGAAGCATCCGTGTTTCAGCTTAAATTGCTGTGGCATTGTCTCATTCGGTTTGAAATTTAGCGATCCAATAAATTAATTTAATTTAATTTATTGTGTACTTTTGATATTTAGCTCGCTACGCTTCGTAATTTTATAATTTTTAATAATCGTGACAGAAACAGATTTTTCATATTTACGACTGTTGTCGCATGAATACTCGTTTGAATAAATACGTTTCTTTTTATGAGCTCTGATCTAATCCCGGCCTACTGAAGGTATTCCCGGAAGAGAATCAAGATTGCAACGTCACATAGGAAAAAATAAAATTATATAATTGGATTAGAATTTTATTACTATTAAGCAGAGTTGGGTAAGTTAATATTTTTTTAAATTAAACTAAGTTAAAGTTAATGGCTTATAAAATTAATAAAATTAATAAAATTAAGTTAAAAATTGAAGGAACAAAAAATTAACTTAATTATAATTAAGTTAAGATTGAATTTTAATTTCAGTTAAAAAAAAAGTTAATTTTGAAAAAATTTTTGAGATCAGAATACACAACTATATAACTTTTCTAAAATGAAATTATTTTAATATAAATATAATTATAAATATTATAATATAGATTATTAGGTAAATTTAATTTTTTTATTTACGTATAAGTTATATGTATAACTATTCAAATAAAAAATACTGATAATATTGCAGTATTACATGTAACAATTAATAATAAATTATTATTAAATTAAAAATAATTATTAAATTTCCATTCTCACGTAATTTTTCGATTAAAAAATATGTAAGATATATATATGTCCCAAAAATCAAACAGTTTTAATAAATAATTAAAAAATTTAAGAAAAGAATAGTTATATTTAAAATGTGCTTTAAAAAGAATATTGTATTATAAGAAATTTTTACCAAAAAAGATAAAAAGAATTTCAATTAAAAAAAAATTAATTAATTGATTTAAAAGTAACTAAATTAAGTTAAAATTTAATGCATTTAAAATTAAGTTAAGTTAAAAGTTATTAACTTTTTAATTTTTTTTAACACTTTTTTTGTTTTAACTAGTTAGTATACCCAATTCTGCTATATATTAAGCAGCTAAATTCCTTACACATGCTGCCTGCACATCATTATTAACATGTTATCATTGTTTATGAAGATAATAGATAATTCTGTTTTGCAATTCGAAGCCAGTTTTTTTTTTCTTGCAATTAGTGGTTCTAGTTTCCTTTATCCTTATTGAAAATCGTACGTTTTAAAATATGTTTTGCTCAAGTGTGGAGGTCGGGACATTGGTCCAGATATCGACCCAACCGCGAAAACCGCGAATAGTTGAAAAGCGTGCCTCATAGATCACTACAGGATTACACCACAGCTCAGTTCGAAACATTAACAAAGCTTCCTCTAATACAGGACTTTGCACTGCGGTGAAAGGAGATTTGGAGGCCATCTAATTGATATCATATTTATGAAATTAATTAATAACAGGAACTCTTATGTCAACAATGTTCCTTATTAAAGCTATATTCATAATCGTTATCTTGTTGTTACCATAAGTCTTCATAAATTACCAGTCCCGTTTGTTATTTCTTCATACACATTCGTCCTTTCTTTTTACTCCGGTGCAAAGTTCGTCCTATCGATTTCATTCACGTAACACTCCCGCCTTGACGAGAGAGACCACCGTCGCGACCAATTGCACGCGATCGAGAGGGTCTCGTGCTCGTCGAGTAGCCAAGTAGCCATGTACCGTGCCTTTCCAGTGAGATATACTGCCACGGCGATCTGCTGCACACGGTACAAATGGCCGGCATATACAAGGACTCCAAGTACTTCGTTGACATGAAAATGAAGCGACCGGCAAACGAGACGCTGACGTCGTTCTGGACCTTCATGAAGAGCATGAACAACGCGCCGAACAAGCACCAGGTGGAGAAGTTCGTCAACGACACGTTCGAGCAGCCGGGTTATGAATTCGAGGACTGGGACCCGGCCGACTGGACGGCCACTCCCAAGTTCCTGCAGAATATCGAGGATGACGAGCTGCGGAAGTTCGGCTCCGATCTCAATCACATCTGGAAATTGCTGGGCAGAAAGATGCGGGATGACGTTCGGATCAATGAACAGCTCTACTCGATCATCTATGTACCGCACCCGGTGATCGTACCCGGCGGACGATTCCGTGAGTTCTACTATTGGGACTCGTACTGGATCATCAAAGGCCTGTTGTTATCCGAGATGCAAAACACCGTCAAGGGCATGCTGAACAATTTTGTTATGATAGTGGATAAGATCGGTTTCATACCAAACGGCGGTAGAATCTACTATGCGATGCGCTCGCATCCGCCACTATTGATACCTATGGTAGATGAATATCTAAAGATTACCCACGACCATGCCTGGCTGAAGGAGAACCTCTGGTTACTGGAGAAGGAGTTCAACTTCTGGATGACCAACCGTACCGTGGATATTGAGAAAGACGGGATTAACTATACGCTCGCTAGATATTACGAAGAGTCATCAGGTCCCCGACCGGAATCCTATAAGTGAGTATCACGACTTCGTAATAGTGTGAATGACGATGCGGATTTTGAGAGAAGCTACATGATCTAGAGTTAAAGCATACACGCGGAGATGTTATTCTTGGCGATATTTATGCTTATTATCTTTACGCCAGTTTATAAGTGTTAATTTTGGTGTGTTGCGCAACACACAAATTGTTCGTGAGAGATTCCAACTCTCTTACAAGAAACCAGCATTAATTTTGTTCTATGAGTAATTAGTAATGCTAATTATTAGAGTAATTAGCATTAGTAATGCTCATTTTTTTTCGATGTTAATTCTGACAATTGATTTTCATCCTTCGGTTTTTTAATCTCGCGATTTGGTGATCAGGGAGGACTATCTGACGAGCCAAAGTTTTCGAACTGCCGAAGAAAAGGACAATTACTATTCGGAATTGAAAACAGCTGCCGAGTCCGGATGGGATTTTTCCAGTCGATGGTTCGTACACGAGGGTACCAACAAGGGTAATTATCATTCTTTAATTGCTTTCCGCGCGATGAAAATAAAGGCCTTTATGAGTGAGCGGCGTTGGGTGCAATAGTATAACATGCGAACTTATGAGTATGATTTGAATATAACTTTAATGGTTAGATAAAATGTTATTGTCACAGAGGCGACAGAATTACAAGCTCAATAATAATATCCGCGTGATTAAACAAGGAAAAACATATATTTATATATAAAATAAACGTATATGTTTATATATAAAATAATATTTATAAAAATAGAATGTAGGAAGTCCCGTATTAAATAATTTTTTTTACATGTAGATTCTCTGATTATCCGCGATGCTCATTAGTAATTATCGTACACTAAAAGAAACTAAGAACGCAATCCTGTTTATTCGTCATAAATTTTTTTAATGGATCGAACCGAAGCTATAATGACGTATTACACATAGGTACATGAGCAGCATTACCCACAATTATCGTGCTATTCCACATTAAACACCGTATCTTCAATGAGATCTGCGCGTACTTCAAGGTCCTCTGGCTCGTTTCTTAAGTGAAAGTATTGTTCGAGGCATCGGTACTCTAAAATTTATTTTTGCAAAAGCTGCACGTAGTGTAACTGAAATCGTTAGATCGTGTCATTTTTGCACACCGTTTAAATTGTCTCTACCTCGCTCAATTTCATCATAATAATTTAGCTTATCTTTTAAAATAGTTTTAATGAATTGTGCTTGGAGGGATATAACTATCGTTATATCTTCATAAAAGCGACTTAGCTCGTAAGAGAGAACTAGAAGTTCATAGCTAGATGGATTTCAGGTAATCTGACAAATCTCAAGACCAGATCGATAATTCCGGTCGATCTTAATACCTTCTTATACCGAAACGCCATACTGCTAGCGAAATACAATCGTCAGATGGGTAATGAGACAAAGGCCGTGTATTACGATGACTTGGCTGAGAAATGGAAAGAGGCGATCAAGATGGTATTATGGCACGAGGAGGTGGGTGTCTGGTTGGACTATGATATATTGAATGACATCAAGCGAGACTACTTCTATCCTACCAACATTTTGCCACTCTGGACAGACTGTTATGACACTTCTAAGAGAACTGAATACATATCGAAGGTACTCAAGTATCTGGAAAAGAATCAAATCATGTTAAATCAGGGCGGCATACCGACGACATTAGAACATTCTGGTGAACAATGGGACTATCCCAATGCCTGGCCGCCTCTCCAATATTTTTTCATCATGTCGCTGAATAACACGGGTGACCGATGGGCACAGAGATTAGCCTACGAGATTAGCCAGAGATGGGTCCGTAGCAATTATAAGGCTTTCAATGAGACTCACAGCATGTACGAAAAGGTAATTCTCATGAAAAGAAACGAAAACAGGAAAAAATAGAAATGAAATAAAAGAATACAAATGTATGTACATTGCGAGTTTGGAAAAAAAATGTTGTGAATGTTAAAAAATAATTTTTAAGTTTACATTGTTTGCGCAATTGTTTTCTGAATAAATTTTTAAATTGAGAGTAAATTGAATTTTGTTTGCAGTATGATGCGACCGTCTCGGGTGGCCACGGTAGTGGAGGTGAGTACGAAGTACAACTTGGTTTCGGCTGGTCAAACGGACTCATTATGGTATTGCTGGATAAGTATGGTGACAAGTTGACCGCGGAGGATTATTTCTCGGCAGACGCCGTGGTTGAAAATGCAGCGTCACCGCCGGTCGTTTCAACAGCTGGTCAAATGTTGACTGGACTTCTAGCTCTTATCATATCATTAGCAGCAGGATTTATAGGGTGAGGTGAGTGTCGAATCGATAGAATTAATTCTTTACAATAAAAAGAACAATGGGAAAGACTTACAAACATTTTTATAATTAAACCTAATTTATAACAGCCTATTTATGTATAAACTTATAAAATCGTACCAAAGTCTTTTCTTCCATTAATTAATTATTAGTACATTAATTAATTAGTAGTACTTAAAAGAATATTTTTTGCTTTCTGTTTCAGACATCCATGTGACCTAAATCAACTAGCATAAAATTCGCGAAAAAATGCATTAGAAAGATCGATCGATGATAGTAGATATTTTTAGTCTTGAAGAAACGGAAATCGATTTAAATAATATTTTTGCTTTTCTTTCTCGCTCGTTTGATTTGTATGATTTTAATAATTGAACGATCGATGAAGAAAACGTAAAACGGGTATAAAAGGACCAAATAGAAGCAAGTGCGGGCACTGTTCTTCTTGTATTATTGTAAGACACTCCAAGTGTGCGATGGGGCCTCGAAAACAGCATTATTTTTATTCTTTTGCCACACATGCTTCCAAAGAATATTCTATAAGCGATAGGAAATATTATAATTAACGATATTACTTTGCATTTAAGTAACGTTTTAGAAGGGACATGCATCTTTTTTGCCTTACTTGCGATATGTCATTGATATATCGTACTTATTGTTAATTGTTTAAATTTATTATGATATTATCATACGACATTATCTACTGCTCCGCACTTTACATTCCTCGTGATTTATGATTATTTTATTGAAAATATCTGTAGTACGTAATATCTCTGAAATTGTCTATCTCTAAGAGTATATCGCCAGTACGCCTAAACATATCTGCAAACATGTGCCTTCTTAGCTATGAAATTATGTCATTATATTATTTATAGGAATATCATGGCCCTTCTCACTGACGGCTAACGTAGACAGGACCTATTATCATTAGACAATCGTCTATTACTTAATCGCTCCATCAGACGTGCGCTGTTATGAGGTATATTCTGTGATCATTTAACGAACTATTTCGCTGGTCGAATTATGTTCTACTATCCTTCCATTGCAGGAATTATTCTTTATCTTTAGATCTAAAATTTTTTAAATACCGCAGGCGATATCTCAAATTTAGTCTCTACAACATATACTATATATAAACTGATGTACATTATATTTTATTTTGAGATTAGCCATTGATACACTACTGTACTAGTATTATTAGGATAGATAAATTATTATATCGCGTATATCTACGTAACAAACGAAAATATCAACGTCTTCAAGATTTTCTGGAGACCGATTCCTCAGAGTAAGGTTTCTCGACAGGAAAAAGGAAAAGTATAAAGGTGAGAAAATGAGAAAATTAAGAGAACAGTTTGGCAAGACTAGTTACAAAATAAAAGATACAACAGGAAAGATCTCTCTCTCTCTCTCTCTCTCTCTCTCTCTCTCTCTCT